GGCTCATCGGCACTGGACACATGGATCGGGCCAATGATCAGACCCTTCACCTTCAACTCATCCATCGCCTGAACCTTTTCAGCCAAACCTGAGGTGTAACCAGTCAGAGTGAAATAAATACACAATTTGCAAAATATTAAAGACAAAAAGAAAATAAATGTGGAATGTTTCGGATCATGGACCACATCCATGTTAATACGGACTTCATTGTACCTCACTTTTGTTTTTTAATATATATGCATTACAAGACGTTCTGCCACCCTTCCTTTAAAATCAATATGATATTCCTTTAATATAGTCCGCAGACTGATATATGAGCGGAGCAAACAGGATGGCATGCAAGTGGATAAGGGAGGAAACCAGATTTGTCGAATCAGCAGCATAAGGACAGAACAATTAATGTGTTTGAACATGTTTAAAGCCTGACATCCGGCTTTAATCCCTAAACTAACCCATCCCTGCAATCCATTAACACTCCCTCCTTCCCATAAGATTTATTTTGGTTGCTTGGATGTTGGTCCATTGAGTCATCTGTCTTTACCTTTCAGATCTGAAGACTTTGTAAAGGAGTTCACATCTCCAATCTGGTACAGTGGTCCATAGTTCCACCAGTTCATCTCAGGGAGGGGCTTGCATCGAGGAGCTTGAATAATGATGGCAATCGCACCAGCTAGCATGCCCAGCCAACCAAGCCAGAACAGGATAAGAAGTGCCCAACGAACCTTAACCCACCTATTCAAGAAAAGAAAAAAGAAAACACCAGGGAGAACATTAGAGGTAGAACATTAATACCTACAAACTGCAAAATCCACACCAAGATCCAACTGAAAGAAAATAAGGTTTCACCACAGGTGCGTTCCGTACCCTGGTGTTCCAGCTACTTTCATGAGTTCTTCTTTGGATAACCCAGTGAATTTGCTCTCCTCATCTGGAATCTTCACCTTTACAATGCCATTCTTCTCGGATACAGGCGAGATAGCATAATTATTTCCAGCTTCCCCCTCGGTCATGGGCTGCTTCTCCTGCTCCACCTCATTGAGCTCCACATCTTTCATATCCACTTCAGTATCGTTGCTCATTTTGTCAGTTTATGTCAACAGTCCTGAAAACAAAAAG